CCCAGAAACAGAACTAGAACCAGAAACAAAACTAGAACCAGAAACATAAACAGCTGCACAAACAAAACCAGAACCAGAAACAGAAACAGAAAGAGAACCAGGAACAGAATTAGAAACTGAATCAGAAACTGAAAATGAAGCTGAAACATATATATATAAATAAAAACAGAAAGAGAAACAGAAACAGAACAAGAAATAGAGCGGGAAACAGAACCAGTAACACATCCAGAAACAAAAACAGAACCAGAAATATAAATATAACCAGAACCAGAACCAGAACCAGAATTAGAAACAACCAGAAACAACCAGAAACAGAAACAGAACTAAGACCAGAAACATAAACAAAATGAGAACCAGAACCAGAAACATAAACAGAACCAGAAACAATATCAGAAACAGAAACAAAGACAGAAATAGAAATATAAACATAAACAGAACCAGAAACAGAACTAGAACCAGAAACATAAACAGCACCACAAACAGAACCAGAACCAGAAACAGAAACAGAAACAGAAAGAGAACCAGAAACAGAATTAGAAACAGAATCAGAAACTGAAAATGAAACTGAAACATATATATATAAACAAAAACATAAACAGAAACAGGAAACAGAACAAGAAATAGAGCGGGAATCAGAACCAGTACCAGATCCAGAAATATAAATATAACCAGAATCAGAACGAGAACCAGAGCCAGAACGAAAAATAGAACCAGAAACTGAACTAGAAACAGAAACATAAACACAAACAAAACCACAAACAGAAACAGAATCAGAACCAGAACCATAAACAAAACAAGTAACAGATCTAGAACCAGAACCAAAACCAGAACCAGAACCAGAACTACATCCATAGCCAGAATGAAAAACAGAACCAGAACCAGAAACAGAACCAGAAACACAAACAGAATAAAAAACAAGAACAAAAACAGAAATAGAAACACAAACAGAACCAGAAACAGAAACAGAAACAGAACTAGAAACAGAACCAGAATCAGAGACAGAA